TAATAATAATAAATATATATATATATAATATATATTCTCTGAAATACTTACACACGAGCGTACGTGTGTATACGCACATTTATAAAATAGCTATAATATAATGAATGGCCTTTGATTACTGCACTGAGTAATGCGCGTTGATGATAACGCGTTACGAATCTTCCTCGTAAAACGTAAGAAAATCCATTGTAAGATCTTACACATATAATTATATCTTACGTATATATAAAAAAAAAATGTATCCATTATCCATCAAGCTTTCCTTACGCGATCATTCATCACCGGGTAACTGGATGTCTTTGTATCGGGGAAAGAAAGACGCGTCTCGAAAGAATAAAGAACTCTTTCGACGTATATATAAAATATATTATTACATTCCCGGATAGAGTCTCTCGTCCGATTAAGTATCAAGTGCGTCAGACACTTCGTATCAAGCTTAACTCATACCACTCTGCGGAGGATGTGTATTTTGGATACTGGATGAGGACTGGAAAGAATCTCTCTCGCGTATCCTAAATATTCCTACGTTGAATTTTTCGCGCAATAGCTAAAACGCGACTCTCCGCGAGACTGTCGTGTATCTAACGGTTCTCTACGACGACGCTGTAATTCCCGTGTATAACGCGACCGAATTTATTTACATGATCGTCCACTATCGCGACCTCCCTGGCACTACGGCTATCTATAAGAGAACAAAAATATTTTATCTGGTTAGCATGTCAATATAAACACGATATTAAAAGGCTGAGATATCAATATTAAAATCCATCAGTAAATAAGACGGCAACATTTCCATATTAAAAATTTAAAAAGGTCATAAATCTCAAAAAAAGCAAGTTCCAAATACTATTAAATTCCATCATCATTTTCAAACAATAAAAATATGTTTTTCTCATACTATAGAAAATAAGTAAAAATAAAAAAAAAACTTTTCTGTAAACTTTTTATAAATCTACAAACGCGCAATATATATATTCTTAAAATAGTAACATTCGAAACAAACGTCGAAACATTTTTATTCAACCAGATAGAATATTTTTGTTTTCCTGCATACCGTGCATTACGCTAAAAGCAATACGAGGAAAAAAGATACATTTCAGACGGCTAAACACGTGGCTGCTGACGAACTGCATAATATCGGTTCTATGTATAAAAAAAAAGGACAAAAAAAACAACTTTTAGACTAGTATAAATACATCCACCTGCGATACAGCACGATACCACGAGTATACGCGCGTCTGGCTTCCCTTTTCCTCCTATACTGTCCCTGATAAAATCTTGCCAAATACGGCCGTCTCGCATTCTTGCCGCTCTGATATCGCTATGTGATAACCCTGAATCTTCGTGACACAATTATTACGAAGGCGGTGCATACATTATACGCTAAGGCTTTTACGTAATTATTAATATCTGAACTGGACGCGACTAGTAAATGACTGATTTCGGTTGTGCTTTATACTCTAAGCTATCTTTACGAAAAGTATTCGCTAACTGCTACGATGATGAGATGACGATGATAATGATGATAATGATGATGATGATGATGACAATCGGGACGACGACCGATGACGGAGATAATGATACGATGACGATGATGATAACTGTGATGTTGCGCGTGATGTGGATAATAACAATTAATAGCTACAAGAGCGATCAGCTCTTATTATAATTAACAATTATCGTCTTAAAATTTACGCGATTGTATATGTATTACTACGTATTATTGGTGACGCTCCCGGTAAACCGACGTGCGTTGAACTTTTTTGATGTCACGTTTCGCGAAGCTGAACGTCGATCGCTATCGGAGTGTCACGATAACGTTACATTATTCAATCCCGTTCTTTCTCCGTGTAATAATTTAATTTCCGAATATAATTTACGTGATGATATATAAAAATTGGCACTGGGTGAAAACGCGATTAGACGAATAATTTCTTACAATTAGCGGTAAAATCAGTCAGTATAATCGACTCGAATCTTTATATACGACAATCAATTTTATAAAGAAATTTTTTTCTTAATCTTACTGTTGTTAATCGTTCGTTGCTCGTCTAATCACAACAGTTATAAAATAAAAAAAGAAAAAAAAAACAGCCACCGTTATATAAACGGGTCTCGAGCCGTGCGTGAAGCAGAGAGAGTCACCAACCACCAATGACGTGCCGTACGCGATATAATATTAATAATAATAATAATAATAATAGAAATAGTAATAATAATAATAATGAATAAAAGCGCACGGCACCGTCTCTTCCGTCTCGACGCGTGTGTATCTCTCCTTATTAGGGCGCTTCTCGCGTGTTTTATTTATTTATTTTTTTTTTTCATTAAAAAGAGAAGAGAGAAGGCGCGTTTCTCCCTTCTTCTCGGTCGCGGAAGAAACTCAACGAGCGAACAACCCACCAGAATGATCAGCAGTAGCGTATTCGGTGAGCAACGGCGACGCCAGGGCAGCGTAGTTGGCGTAGTCCGCGTACGGCGTGTAGATGAGTCCATGGGGATCGCCGGCCGACAGGAGCGAGCCGGGTGGCCCGGAACCATTCAGCAGGGACGCGGCAGTCGTCGGTACGGATATCCGAGGCGAGAGGATCAACGGAGCGCCCAGAGGAGCACTCGGTGTCCGCATCGGGGACGCCAGACCCGGCAGCAGGCGTTGCGTCTCTGCCGCGGCGGCGGCAACTCGTCGCCATTCCTCGTCGCAGGCTGCAACAGACAAGGAATACTGTTGGGCATCTACTCCTCGAGCGAAGCCTTTCCCGGCTTCCGCTGGTTCTATCTCTAAATTTGCAACTGCGTACATTGGCGGGGGAAAGTTTGAAGAAATGCGTAGAGAGGTCTTGGCGGAGAAATATTAATAGGATCCTTGCCTTCTCGCATAGAAGATTTTTGACACGCATAATCTGACCATATTTTTCGAGACATAAGTTTCTCAGAAATCTATCCTAAGTTTCTTTCCATCTAACAGGACTCGAAGGACGAAATAAATACACTATATCACTGAAGAAAATTATTCATCAGACAGGAATAGGTCGCGATCACCACTGCTTTTCATTACAAAGCTGACTCACGAGATGTATTAAGATCATGAATCATGCTAATATCCACGATCGTATTTATACGGGTGTATATTAAGTGTCTAAATCTTACGACAGTTTAAAAAAGCTGTAACTAAAAATGCGATCGTATAGCGTTACTTTTGGTGAAATTAATCAATCAATATGCGCGAGGTGATTGTCAATGTCAATCCATTAGTCCGTTTTACATTCCTCTTTTTAAATGTATCCGATCATTATACGTTTCTCACGAATACGCGATAAGATGCGATAAGGTTGCACACACTTAAATATAAACAAAATAATAATAAATTGATTTTTCCCACGCCCATCGGGACACCTTTAGATTCACGAGACACGATTTCATGAAACTTATCCAAAATCCTTGCCGCAGAAACGTCGAAAAATATGCATAATGAGACAAGTTGTACAAACGGTACCTGCTGCGGCGGCAACCTTCGTGTTGGAATCCCGATAAGTCCCATTGATAATGGCGAGTTCCATTAGCTGCCTCTTCTTTAGCTCATCCTCGCCGTCAGCCTGCTAACAATCGACATTACCGTCAGAACACACGACCGGAGGTACAATGATAATTATCTTACAGTGGGGAAAGAGAGGCACTTTGCGACTATCGCTATTGTACAGATCTTTTCCATTTACATATGAAAGCGCCGATTACATAATTAAGGCGCGCATACACATACGAGATTGCTTAGTTTAAAGGCGTGGAGCGTGTCTTTCAACGGCTCGATTAATACATTGTATTAATTTTTGTAAATTTTCCATCAAAAGATTCGATACACTGTAAATTATTTCAAGTGTCATTGATCAAAACTAGCAAGGGAAAAAAAAAAAAAGAAAAACTTTCTAGCATGATTTCTCGCCGAGAGAGATCTCTCTTTTTATTCTCGTCTCACAGTTGTTATTATCTGTTCTAGGAGGGGGGAAAAAAAATAATACAATTGGAACTTTCTCACCACGGGCACGAGAAGCTTCTTGACTTCCTCGACGGCACGGGCGAGCTTCAAGGTGGCACGATTCTCCGTGTCCTCGACAGTGAGCAGCACGTGCAACTCGTCCGTCAGGTGTTCCCAATTCGGCTTGCCCCGATTTTGCTCCTCCTGGGTAATCAACACACGTCGCGCAATTTTTATACACGCATGCAAACCAATTGTTAACCCGCTCACGTCGAATACACGCACACATATACAAACTTGCAATCAACAAAATACAGATAAAAATAATTTGAAAAACGATCGATTTACCAAGAGTAAAAAAAAAAAAAATAAAGGAGAGAATATTGCATAATTATATATGTATATATCGTATATTTTTTATATATATACGATATTTTTTATATTTTATATATGTCCTTATTTCGGACAAATTCACTGACGCGGAGCTTTGTTAACCAAATGCATGGCGATAATAATATAATAGACATATACACATATCTACGTTGAGGAAAATAAAAGATACGTTGTGTTCACATCGAATTATACGAAATTTGTTCTACGTATACTTACGAGAAAGCATTTCGCTCGTGTACCATGTGCAGCTTGAAAAAATACAGCGCTTAGTTTAATGGTCAATGTGAATCACTCACAATTAATTTTAAAGCCATTTGTCGCTGCTGTCGGATTAATTGGCCGAGAAGTAGAGATTTCGCGAAGAGATTTGATTTCTTTAATATAATTAAGACGAGACACTTTGACAGTTAGTATAGGCGAGTGACGCGAAACTTTAGCCTTGAAACGTCGATTTTCCCTTCATTCTCACCTTCTTTTTGTCCCTCATCGACCCTTTCCCGCGAACCATGATTTTACATCCTGTCTCCTGCTCCAATTGTTTCGCGGTCATGCCTCGTGGTCCCAAAATCCTCCCGACAAAGTTGAACTGTAATCATACAACATAACAACCATTCAATCATTCCACTTTCATGCCTTCACTAAAGGATGATTCGACTCTAATTAAACTTGTCGGAATACATTCACTAATAATGAGTGGGAAATTCCGTGTAGGATGCAAGAGATTCAAAAAAAGATCATTTCAAAGTCATTTTTCTAAATTTACGTAATCATTACGATCCCCTCTTTATCCGGGATACTGCTACGATTTAAATATACAGTACACTTGCATTCACGTGTACACGTGGTATAATAATAGTCGAAAATAAATATGTATCATTTAGTTTCACGCACAAAGTACACACTACCCGCTGAAACCGCTAAACTTGGCTTGTACGACCATGAAAAAAAAAAAAAACTTGCTTTTCGCGAGATATCTAGTTTCATTGTTGAATCCCGGTAAATAAAGGTGGGTAAATTTAGACGGTGAATCATCCGGCTCTTTAGCCCCCCTTGCTACTGGCACGTTTTTTTCAAAAATACTCGGTGTATCTCCAAGATCTTAGCCGTCTTTTTTTTTTATATATAAATAATTTTATGTTAAGAGAGAAAATTCATTAATTGCCGAGATGCAAATTTTGGGACGGAGAAGACTGTGACAAAAAGATTTAATGATGATTTTTTTCTATTTATTTCAAATATAATTGCAAGCTCAATGTTTTTTATACAACCGCTTCGAGTGATAAGACGGTTTGCTATCGCGAACGCATAACAGAAGTCTTCTCTCTCGTCAAGACGATAACAGGAGTCGTTGATAACGCGGAACATTATCGGAAACTACCAATCTTGTAAAATCAGCATTCGGTAATCAGCAAGTTATCGAGTCAATGGGCGTACAAAGCGCTTCGAGTAAGGCCAATCGTGTACACAGCTCGTGATAACAGACGGATCAATCGATCGTTCGCAAGGAGCATCCGTAATGAGTTAATAAACAATGGTGAATGCCACTGTCTTAGATCATTCTCACGCGCTGATAAGATCGGTGTAATTCTTTCCTGCCTACTCTTGACTAGAGATTAAAAGGATAGTAAAAAAACAGAAACTTTGGGTAAAAAATTCGGTAAAAAACTGTTTCTTTTTACTCCCCCAAAAATGGGTTTTTTACCCCATTAATTACTAGAATTTTATTTTATTACTCGATTTTCAAAAATTTATAGCAAAAATTTAATTTTGATGCTTATTTATTAACCTTTAATACATGGCTTTGAAAAATGAGTATCAAATTTATTAAAATTAAGTATCAGATTTCATGTCCTGTGTTATTCTCACTTCTGGTCCACAAAATAACAAAAATAACAACAGTTTAACTTGATATGCTTGAGAGAATTTTCTTCTAACTTTTATGAAACTTTAAAAATAAAGAATATCAAAAAATACCATTGAATTATAAAAATCAAAATTAACTTGTTTTAAAATATTCGATAACTCAACTGATTAAACAAATGCAAAGTAGTAATCAGTTATAATCAGCCACATCCATTGAAATTGATTACTGACTCAGTAAACAAAATTAATTTAATTCCTATACCATTTTTTATTCCAAGAAAACTGGCACTTGGCTATCTTTCAAAATTATCAAGAAAACAGTTTTTTACCCAAAAATACTGGTTTTTTATTTAGTTTCTTCCCCCATTTTTAAAAAACTCCATTTTTTAAATCTCTGCTCTTGACACATGGGCGATATCCACCGTTTCATTTATACAGGGAAATCACGCGTACAAGAAAGAGAAAGAAAAATTCGCCCTTTAAATGAATTAAGTAAGGAACATTGATGTGAGAATATATTTGAGAAAAAAATCGGGAGACACACTCGTCCGAAGGGTTAATAAGCTTACACGACCCCGTTATTACGTCTCAATGAGCCACAGTGGGAGAGACGCGTGCAAGCGAGACGGAGAAACGTGGCGAAGAAGGAAAGGGAGCCGTTTCTTTGGCGCGAACCCTATTTCGGGCGTTACAGAAATAACGTCCGATGGTGCATGCCGCGCATCGCTCGATTTCTCGTCTCGAGATCGACGAGTAACAGAGCTTCCTCCGCGAGAGAAATATGTGAAGCGGATTCGGGTAAAAATTACTTTTTCTCGTGGATGTTTCTTAAAGAAACGAGCGTTTGTCGAAGGACGCGTGTGGAGAATTTTTTCAGATTTTCAACACGTCACAAGATTAGCAACAAATATACATAATATATATTCAGGGTATCTACTGAAATCTTGTAAAAAAAGAATGCCTCGGTCTTCCAGGTATTTTTGTTCAAAATTGCAGGTAAAGAAAATGTTTGAAAAATCTTGCGGTGCAATTTTCTAAAATAAGTTTTTTTATTGCATGCGTTTTTTAATGCTTTTTACTCTTGTGAAGGAAAAACACAAAGTCACTTTACTTAAGTTTCAGGTACTAAATTTGCAAATATATCGGGGAAAAAAAAAAAACAGAATAGATTTCGTAAAATAAATATGTTTCACTCGCATAAAATAATATTTTCACTTTTTCTATCCTTAAAAATTACAATAAAAAATATGTATTACATATTTTGTTAAGACCCATTGGATATATATGAACAGAGAAATAGATATATATATTTATAATATATTTTAAACTCATAATTGTGTGATAACTTGGCTTATTGGCGGATTGCCAGACTGCTCGCAATACAAGAGCAAAATTATCAGAGACAATTTTTTTTTGTAAATTCTCAGTAAAATTTCATGAGATATCCCTGCTTTTTTCCAGATACAACAGAAACCCCTGAGAATTTTCCATGTTTTTTTCCAGGAGGGTAGACATCCCGCGTATTATATTTGTAAAACACATATACAAACTATAGTTGAAATTATATTCTGTAAAATCCGAGTCTCTCGCGTTTCGATTCTTCGAAAAGATTTCGTTAGCTCATAATTCTCGTGAGGATAAGGATCTCCTTGAGTCGCGTTTAGGTCAAAATAATCCGGGAGGGATTACATGCCAAATTTATGTACCGTTAGTGCAACGCGAGGTATGCGTCACAATTAGACATTAAAAGAGTAGTAATAAAAAAAAACAGAAACTTTGGATAAAAAACTCGATAAAAAAACTTTTTTATTCTCCCAAAAATGGGTTTTTTACTCTATTAATTACTCAGTGTCTATTTTCAAAAATTTATAGCAAAAATTTAATTTTGATGCTTATTTATTAACGCACGATTTTGAAAAATAAGTATCAAATTTATTAAAATTAGGTATCAGATTTCATGTCCTGTGTTATTCTTACTTCTGTTCCACAAAATAACAACAGTTTAACTATGCTTGAGAGAGTTTTCTTCTAACTTTTATGAAATTTTAAAAATAAAGAGCATCAAGGAAGACCATTGAATTATAAAGATCAAAATTAACCAGTTTTAAAATATTCGAACTCAACTGATTAAACAAATGCAAAGTAGTAATCAGTTCAGCCACATTCATTGAAATTGATTATTGACCCAGTAAACAAAATTAATTTAATTCTCATACCATTTTTATTCGAAGAAAATTGGCACCATCATTTAAAATGACCAAAAGACGATTTTTTATCCAAAAATACTGATTTTTTACTTAGTTTCCCCTTTTTTTAAAATCTCTAGTCACGATACTCACGTCTGGGTGTTCCTTAACGGGTACATAGACCTTCTCTGTAAGCGTCGTGATGTCGCCCTCGGGTTCCGGCAAGATGAGCGGCTCCTTCTTCACTCCGCTGATTTGGAAGAGACTCGCCCGCACCTTCGCAATCTCTGTAACAAGAAACGAGAAAGCACCGATGAATGCCCGCGTGTATTAATAGCGGATGATTTTTAATAATCATCGGCGCCGCCGATCTCGCGAAGGATCTCGATATAACCCGTCAATTCGTTTCGAATAGACATTCCACGATGAACCTCGGGGTTGACCGTTATATCAACGGGGAAAACGAAACGAAGCGAAATGAAACCGCGTGCATCCTTTATTCGATAAATGCGTGACGCGGTCGACTTCGGTCCGACTGCGATAAAGCGTACATAAGCGAGCCGCGCGCGCGTGTTTCGTGTCATTGCATACCTATGCACGCATGCATTCTCACGCACGCGTATGTGCATATGTGCGTAACTTACCCGCGCGTCAAACGCAGCGCTAATAACGGGGCGCTGCGAATCTGGGCGTGGCACGCTTTTCCACCTTAAGTTGCGATCACAAAGGGATTTCAATGATCCGCTCTCTTTTTATTTCCCAGACATACCTTCATATTTTATATATCGTGAATAATAATTGAATAATTGACATAGACGCGAATTGCCGATTCAATAAAGAACATTCCGACACTTCGTTTCAGAAATATAAAAATTTTATTAATATTAAAACAAAATTATTTTAAGTTTTATTATTTTATTATTGTTTTATTTTTTTTAATCCATATATTTTTTAACGTTTGAATATAACGAGAAAGTTTCGACTTTTATAATCAAATTACAATTTTTTTTTTAATAATAGATTAGCAGATTTAAATCGTAATATATAGTTGTGTGCAATTTATGAGTAAAATATGCAAAAAACTATAGCTAAAATTTAGTTATATATAGTAAAATAAATCGATTTAAATTTTTTTAAATCGATTTGTTTCAAATTAAATTATCTGTTTTAAATTAAATTTAAATTAAATTTAAAAATATTTAAATCGATTTGATGAGACGGATCGTAATTATTTATCAAAAATATCTTATACCTCGGGGAAAAATAAATATCTCGATCTCTTCGTTCGCAATACACGTGTCGCAATATTGAAATGAAAAAGAAGACGGGGATAGGGCACCACGTGCGCTTCGATGCAACTCCCGCGGCCGTAAGTAGAATGTCGTGTAAAGGTGACTTCGTTTGTCGTCCCGTTCTCTCTATCGATGTACGTACATACACAACCGGTCATCGATGTATCGCGACAAAAGAAATGCGCGGGGCCCCATCGTGCAATCCGGTCGTGTATGTTCTTACAACGCCGTATATCCGCCGCGCGTAAAGGTCAACGTTCCGCGTCTGCCCCACTTTCTCGCATGCCTGACCTCTTCGGCTCTTCGTCGTCTCCTCCTCGTGACGATGTGATCATCCACGCGACGAACATTTCACGGTGCGACCGATAAGCTTTTTCGCATAAATCGCGTTCCCTCAGGGGCTCACGACGGTGAGTACGGGTTTAGCAAACCCGAGGTACCCGAGCTACCCCCGCGACGAGGCTTCTGGGAGTTTTTTTTTTTTTAACCGGCCCGCTCGATTCTTTCGGGAATTTAAAATATTTAAATGAAGAGATATAATTATGCATGTATGTCGGGAGCAATGTCTATTAAATTTAAAATATTGGTATTGACGAGATTAAAAGTCCTTTTTAAAATTGCAGATGATTCGATTCGATCATCATCTGCGCAGTAAATTGCAGTTTATAACAGTTTACGACTATACGGTCTCACACACGCATACTTTTAATGAAGCGCTCAATTATCTTGAAGAGAAGTGAATTATAGCTTCTAAATGGACGCCGCTGTTTTTATTCAATAAACAGTGAGCTTAGAATACGTGAGTCACGGCAATAATACATTTTTTTACAAATTTTGTAAAGTCGTTTGATAGAATTTTCGCCAAGGGAACATTTACATTGAATTTATCGAGAGGAACGCTTCATAAAAATATCATAAATAAATTACTGTTTATCTCTCGCTGACATTTTACCGTTTAAAATAAAACAACAAAAAAAAACAAAAACAAAAAATGCGCGTCATCGGCATTTTAATCTCTCCGCGTGATGATCGGCTCCTCGTCCCTCCGTGAAAAGGCAATTTCTCGGATTACGAACGCGCCGCAAATTGTCATACTTATTCCCAGTAGAAATCGTCGGATTTATATTCTTTCCATCGACACGCGAGTCTCTCCTTTCGGTGCCCGTCCATCTCGCGCCGCGCGATTTTCACGAGAGCGAGCGAGAGAGTGGGAGAATGCGTCACGATATGCCCGCGAGGGGGGGAGGGGGAGGAGGAGGGGGAGGGAAGGGAAAAAGAGGGGAAATAAAGGAGGGCATCATAGCTGCTTTTAGCATGGCGCAGCTCATCGAGCAACCCATATGCGTGACATCAGCTGACCGTCGCTCTTGGCTACTTCTCTCTCTCTCTTTCTATCCGTCCCTTACCCTCCCCCCCTTTTCCGACTCACAATATCGTTCCTTCTCGCTCTAGATCTCTCTTATGTAGATCTTTTCCAAAATATTTGATGTGTGTGACGCGTAAGTCGCATGAGTGCGTCGCATGCAAAATAGAGAGAGAGAGAGAGAGAGAGAGAGGGGGGGAGGGAGAAAGAGAGACAGCGTTTTTTTTTTTTTTAACCGGCCCGCTCGATTCTTTCGGGAATTTAAAATATTTAAATGAAGAGATATAATTATGCATGTATGTCGGGAGCAATGTCTATTAAATTTAAAATATTGGTATTGACGAGATTAAAAGTCCTTTTTAAAATTGCAGATGATTCGATTCGATCATCATCTGCGCAGTAAATTGCAGTTTATAACAGTTTACGACTATACGGTCTCACACACGCATACTTTTAATGAAGCGCTCAATTATCTTGAAGAGAAGTGAATTATAGCTTCTAAATGGACGCCGCTGTTTTTATTCAATAAACAGTGAGCTTAGAATACGTGAGTCACGGCAATAATACATTTTTTTACAAATTTTGTAAAGTCGTTTGATAGAATTTTCGCCAAGGGAACATTTACATTGAATTTATCGAGAGGAACGCTTCATAAAAATATCATAAATAAATTACTGTTTATCTCTCGCTGACATTTTACCGTTTAAAATAAAACAACAAAAAAAAACAAAAAAAAAAAATGCGCGTCATCGGCATTTTAATCTCTCCGCGTGATGATCGGCTCCTCGTCCCTCCGTGAAAAGGCAATTTCTCGGATTACGAACGCGCCGCAAATTGTCATACTTATTCCCAGTAGAAATCGTCGGATTTATATTCTTTCCATCGACACGCGAGTCTCTCCTTTCGGTGCCCGTCCATCTCGCGCCGCGCGATTTTCACGAGAGCGAGCGAGAGAGTGGGAGAATGCGTCACGATATGCCCGCGAGGTGCACGCGTCACGTTCTTCTCGGTCGTATTAGTTGGAAGGAATTCACGCGAGAGGGAAACGCACAGCCTCTATACGCATATATCTATAGACGCGGACAGATAGACGCAGATAGAAAAACAGGAATAAAGGGTGAGGTGGGGTGGGGACGCGTAAGTCGCATGAGTGCGTCGCATAATAGAGAGAGAGAGAGAGAGAGAGAGAGAGAGGGTGGGAGGGAGAAAGAGAGACAGCAGAGCCTCTCAACCGTGTCTTCGTTCAATGTCAACATGACGAGAGACTCGCGAGCGGCCTTATTTACGTAGTTAGAAGCGCGTTGTCAAGAACAACGACGATTCACAAGCATCGATCATCCGGATCGTATGTCCCTACAAGTGCATCGCAAGTGACACACGCGCGCGTGTACGTTACACGTGGGTGTGCGAGCCGGCAGAAATCGTGGTGCGGCATCGGCGTCATGAGATCACCGATGTTGTAATCGGATGAGACACACACATACACACATGCACACACACAACACACGATCCGCATATCGCACGGAACCTGAGGGATCGTCCTCCAAAGACGTACACGGACGGTATTAGACAAGCCCCCTCCTCCTTCCCCGCCCTCCTCACTCTCTCCTTCGCTGCATGAAGTCACCATATCCGCTCTCATCCATCGCATCGTCTATCTAGCATCGCGTTTAATCGCGAGATTTAGCGTGACCGAAAAATCTTTAGATCGTAGAAAATGTATTTTCCCTCCCAAATTTCCTCGAATCCGTCAATTTCGTTTTGTTCAACGAATTTGACGGATTGAAGTAAATCTTTTCGACGCAGGCTGAAATTAAATTTTTGTTGTATACACGCGTCGTGGAATTGAACGACGAGTTTCGGTCAAACGAGACAGCGATAATTGGCCTGAATCGGCCTCGCCGTGGGACACGTGGCTCGCCGTCGGCGACAAAAGGCCGCGATAAACGCCGTCAGCTGGATTCTCGCGCGGCTCGAATGTAGAGAGAAATGCCGTTACAATAAGAATGTGACCGTCGATCAATTACGTGATCTTCATTTTTAGACCGAATACCGACGATACATGACTTCGAACGACGAATACGTTAAATGTAAGAGAAAAAAAGAATGAATATACGATAAATTATCGTTATCAGCTTCGAGAATAATTGCTTATCGCTAGGTGATTATGTGGACATGAGAAGGGACATTTTTACAAAAATAATAAATACGCGATCAAAATAAAATATCAGCAACTTACTCGCAGACTTTTAGAGATAAATCTGCATATAATATTTATGTGTGTGTGTGTGTGTGGTACAAATATAAATGGCGTAAAATTCATAACTAGTTCATCCATCTTGCGGGCACCCTTAAGCAATCCCCAATTTATTTTCGCTCGATGAGGCAAGCGTGTCTATTTATATGTACCGTTGCTCCAGAAATTTTACGACAAATACGAAATACGCGCGGAGAAACGGCTCGTGTAATCGCGAATCGAGGAAATGAGGAACGGATTATCCGTAGACATATATGTCTCGTGTACGACATGTATACTAACCTGGGCGTATGTAACAACATATCTGATTTCGAGGCTTTTATCCGCCTATCTAACAGCTAGCAATTTAATACTCGTGCATTATCTTCGTTGCGT